GCCCAGCAGGAATTTTATCTTTAAGGGAAAAAATGGCACCCTCCATTTCTGTCACCCCAGAGGAATCCACCTTCACCTCGTTTATTCTATCATTTTGCGATTTATCTCCCTATCTCTAAATACCATGTTTGTATGACTGCCTCTTGATTTTTCAATTTTAGGCATTTTCCATCCGCTTCTCACTGTGGAAGACATTCTCAGACTCTTATTTAAATCAATTCAGCCTCCTACGTTGTGACTCTGACTAGATGAATATTCAGTGTTTACATGTTATGACTATGTAAATGCTCTCACAGCTGCCACAGTAGTAAACCGGGATTACTTTCTTCTCCTACACAATTCTTTGTTTTTCTTTCTTCTTTTTTTTCTTGAGACAAGGTCTCACTATGTCACACAGGCTGGAGTGCAGTGGCGTGATCTTGGCTCACTGCAACCTCTGCCTCCCGGGTTCAAGCAATTTTCCTGCCTCAGTCTCCCGAGTGGCTGGGACTACAGGCGTGTGCCACTAGGCCTGGCTAAGTTTCGTATTTTGAGTAGAGACGGGGTTTCACCATGTTGGCCAGGCTGGTCACAACCTCCTGACCTCCAGTGATCCACCCACCTCAGCCTCCCAAAGTGCTGAGATTACACACTTGAGTCACAGAGCCCAGCTGAGATGGGGTTTCACCATGTTGTCCAGTGTGGTCTCAAACTCCTGAGCTCAAGCGATCTGCACATCTCAGCTTCCCAAAGTGTTGGTATTACAGGTGCGAGCCACTGTGCCCGGTCAATTTTTCTTGAGGTTAGTAAATGTCTTTTTGTCTTTTTGCTTTTTCTTTCTTTTGTCAGCTGCTCCATGGCTGAGTTTTCTTTGTGGTTAACTAATTCAAACCCAAATTCTCTGTTAACTATCTGAATCTCTTCTTAATATGTTCAGAAGTATCAAATACTCTTGTTAATTTCTTTTCTTTTCTTTTGTTTTTGAAACAGGGTCTCACTCGGTCACCCAGGCTGGAGCACAGTGGCAAGATCTCAGTTCACTGCAGCCTCTGCTTCCCAAGTAGCTGGGATTACAATCATGCGCCACCAGGCCTAGCTAATTTTTGCATTTTTTTTTTGTAGAGAAGGGGTTTCGCCATATTGACCATGCTGGTGTCAGTCTAATTCCTGGCCTCAAGTCACCTGCCCACCTTGGCCTTCCAAGTGCTGGGATTACAGCTGTGAGCCACTGTGCCTGGCCTTGTCAATTTCACCTTATTGAAGAAGTTGCTCTTGTGGCCTTCTAGCCTGCTCCAGCCTGGGGCATAGATGCCATCTTGGGATCAGCTTTCACCTTCATCCCTTCATCTCTTCTGGTTCCTGTTGTAGCACAAATTCTAACTCTTTTTGGGTTTTGCTTCCTTATTCTTTTGAGCGTCCTGACAGAGGCACATAGGGGGCATATTTTTGGAGACATTGCAAATCTGAAAAGTCTTTTTTCTGTTCTTGTACTTGATGGACAGTCTGGCTGGGTATAGAATTCTGGATTAGAGCTTATTTTCTTTCAGAATTTGGAAGACTCATTCTATTGTTTTCTAATATCCAGTGCTACCGTAGAGAAATCCAAGCTTATTCTGATACCTATGCCTTTGTATGTAACCTGTTGTTTCTTTTCCTTGGTGGACTGACATTTTTCAGTGAAATGCCTTGATCTGTTTTCTTTTTTTTTTGAGATGGAGTCTCACTCTGTCACCCAGGCTGGAGTGCAGTGGCATGTTCTCGGCTCACTGCAACCTCTGCCTCCTGGGCTCAAGCAGTTCTCCTGCCTCAGCCTCCTGAGTAGCTACAATTACAGGTGTGTGCCACCACAACTGGCTAATTTTTGTATGTTTAGAGAGACGGAGTTTCACCACGTTGACCAGGCTGGTCTTGAACTCCTGACCTCATGATCTGCCCGCCTTGGCCTCCCAAAGTGCTGGGATTACAGGTGTGAGCAGCCTTGCCCAACCTTTTTTTTTTTAAGATGGAGTTTCGCTCTTGTTGCCCAGGCTGGAGTGCAGTGGCGTGATCTAAGTTCACTGCAACCTCCTGTCTCAGCCTTCCAAGTAGCTCAGATTAGAGGCATGCACCCCCATGCCCACCTAATTTTTTTGTATTTAGTAGAGACAGGGTTTCACCATATTAGTCAGGCTGGTTGTGAACTGATCTCAGGTGATCCATCCACCTCAATCTCCCAAAGTGCTGGGATTAAAGGCGTGTTCCACCGTGCCCGGCCTGTTTTGCTTTCTTTCTTTTCATTTCTGTTTTTAGAGATGGTTTCTCACTATGTTGTCCAGGCTGGTCTTGAACTCCTGGGCTCAAGCAATCCTCCTGCCTCAGCCTCCGAAATTGCTGGGATTACAGGCATGAGCCACTGCAAGCGGCCGCTGATCTGTTTTCATTGCTGGGTCTTTCAGTCTTATCCTCATGTTGTTTGTTCTGAGAAAATTTCTTTGTTCTTTAAGAACATTTAAGAATGTTCTTAAATTCTTTCATGTACAATGTCTCCCTCTCCTTCATTTCTCTGTTTGTTTGTTTATTTATTTATGTTTAGAGACAGGGTCTCACTCTGTTCCACAGGCTGGAGTGCTGTCATGCAATCATAGCTCACTGCAGCCTTGACATCCTGGGCTCAGGCAATCCTTCCACCTCAGCCTCTGAGTAGCTTGGACTACAGGTGTGTGCCACCTTTTTGTAGAGATGGGGGTCTCACTATGTTGTCTAAGCTGGTCTTGAACTCCTAGGACCAAGTGATCCTCCCACCTTGGCCTCCCAAAGTGTTGGGATTACAGGTATGAGCCATCATACCCGGCCAGGAACTGGACTTTTCTTTTTGTTCGTTTGTTTGTTTTTTGAGACAGTTTAGCTCTTGTTGCCCAGGCTGGAGTGTAATGACACAATCTCGGCTCACTGCAACCTCCTCCTCCCCGGTTCAAGCGATTCTACTGCCTCAGCCTCCCAAGTAGCTGGGATTACAGGCACGTACCACCATACCCAGCTAATTTTTGTATTTTCAGTAGAGACGAGGTTTCTCCATGTTGGTCAGGATGGTCTCAAACTCCCAATCTCGGGTGATCCGCCAGCTTTGGCCTCCCAAAGTGCTGGGATTACAGGCATGAGCCACCAAGCCCAACCGACTTTTCATTTTTAATTAAAATTTAAATGCAAGCGGGGCATGGTGGCTCATGCCTGTAATCCCAACACTTTGGGAGGCTGAGGTGGGTGGATCACCTGGTATCAGGAGTTCGAGACCAGCCTGGCCAACATAGCGAAAACGCATCTCTATTAAAAATACAAAAAGTTAGCTGGGCATGGTGGTGGGTGCCTGTATCCCAGCTACTTGGGAGGCTGAGGCAGGAGAATTGCTTGAACCCAGTAGGTGGTGGTTGCGGTGAGCCGAGGTGGTTCCACTGCACTCCAGCCTGGGCAACAAGAGAGAGACTCCGTCTCAAAAAAAAAAAAAAAAAAAAAAATGCAAATAGCCACATGTGACGAGTTGTGGTTGCCACAGAGGACAGCATTAGAAAATTCCAACTTTACAGTGAGGCACAAAGGAGAGGCATCTCCAGGGCTCTGGCCAGCTCACAGGCCAAACGGGGGCTTACCTTACTGCTGCAGGCAAGCAACCCCAAGGGCGGGGTGGGGTGGAAGAAATGATGCAGGTCCTGCTGAGTGCAGTGGGTCACACCTGTAATCCCAGCACTTTGGGAGGCCGAGGCAGGTGGATCACGAGGTCAGGACCAGCCTGACCAACAAAATGAAACCCCGTCTCTACTAAAAATGCAAAAAAATTAGCCTGGTGTGGTGGCACATGCTTGTAATCCCAGCTACTTGGGAGGCTGAGGCAGGGGAATCACTTGAATCAGGGAGGTGGAGGTTGCAGTGAGCTGAGATCACGCCACTGCACTCCAGCCTGGGTGACAGAGCAAGACTCTGTCTCAAAAAAAAAAAAAAAAAAAAAAAGGAAATATACATCCTAAATGGAAACAGGAAACAGAGAAACACAGCTTCTCCTCCCAGCCAGTTCTTGGAGCCCATTCCATGAGAGATGTTCAATTTCTCACTCACTGAAGAAGGGCAAAAAAAGGAAATATCAAGCATTATTTTTTATTTATTTTGTAAGCATTATTTTTTATTTATTTTGGATCAATTAAAATATGGATGCATTGACACTCACACATTCCAAACTAACAGTACACACTGTTCTCATCTGACCTCTTTCCATGGAGAAAGCCTTCTTGGCATCCTTTCCTTGTTAATGGAATCGTACTTCTCAGCTTGTGTCTAGCCCATGGAAGGCCTCCCTTGGACCAGTCTGAAGTTACTCATTCAGCCACTTCTTTTCTTTTCTGTTTTGTTTTGTTTTGTTTTTTTGAGATAGAACCTC